TAACCATTTGCCTTTACATGTATGTATTTTTTAGACAATTGCTTCAGTTGTCAGAAAAATCCCGAGAAATTAGCAAATTGTTCAGAATTGCTTTATATTATGAAATGTTTTGCATGTCAACTATAATTCACACTGTAAATATACTGTGGGCTTTTAATTGCTTTCTAGCAATTAAAATTCCATTTAACACATTTCTTTTCTACTTATTTCTTTATTTATTGATTCATTCTGAACAGTGAACAACCAGGCCTCTAGTGTTGAATATCAGTAAATCAGCTGCTTTCTTTGTAATTTCAGTATTCTAGACGGCCCTGAGCTTCATTGTGTTTGGTTTAGTTTTGCTGAAGTGGCCGATGTGGCTCAAGGCTCTCATTATTGTTCTGCGTGTGTGTGTGTGTGTGTGGGTTTTACACACTAACCTGTATAATGTGGAGCACATTCAGTTATATTATTCAAAGACTTTTTTTTTTATTCTGACTGCTGTCAGGTTTATCATTGCTAATTAGCAGAGGAAGGTTTTGTGCTAGTTTAGCACTGGTTTTTGCTGTTGTTTAAAACAATCATAATACATTCATTTTTATATCTTACTAAAAATCGCTTTGTGTGTATTTGAATGCACACAAAATCCAGCTAATTACTTTTGCTATTAATAACATTTTGGAAAAAATTTATATTGTGTGTGTGTGTTTGTGTGTAAATAAAAAGTCAAAATGTAAATTGTTACATTTGTGCAGGTATGCATTACGTTTTAGCATTATTAATTACCTAAATCATCAGAAAAATACATGGAATTTGCAAAATATTTGGAATGGCTTTATATTATGAAATGTTTTTTTTTTTTTTTGCATGTCATATATAATTCACATTGTAAAGTACTATGGGTTTTTAATAGCTTTTTAGCGATTAAAATTGCATTTAGCCATTTTTTTTTCTTTGTTCATCAGTGAATTCTGAAACAACCACATCATCCATAAGCTTCATTGTGTTTGGTTTAGTTTTGCTGAAGTGGCCGATGTGGCTCAAGGCTTTCATTATTGTTCTGCGTGTGTGTGTGTGTGGGTTTGTGTGCGCGCTGCGTTGACGTAGTTGTTCATTTCGCTGATGTGTTTACAATGCTGTTCCATTTGCTTTTGCGCTGCAGATCAAATTGATTTCTGAAATAGCGCATTGTTTCTAATAATTAGATTCGGTTCTCCCTGCTGTCGGATCTTCACAGTTGTCCCGTGATTTTATGAGTGATTCAGATAAGTAGTTAAACGAATATGAATTATATTATGTCCATACACTGTAGAACATGGCTTTGTTTATTTAAAAGCCTTTAAACTGTTTAAATTGATGCTTGCTGTCTTTATGGTCTATATCAGAAATGTTAGAATGAAAATGGAGGTAATTTTCTATATTTACAGAACATCTCCACCAGCCTTTGTTCCCAATCGATGACTACATGATGCATTTTGACTAAAATCTTGCATTACCAGATCAAATAAACCGCTTGTATAGGCTGTAAAATCAACCAAGAGACACATTCACTCATTACGAGCTGTTATTCATAAAAATATCACAGATTTAGACCATTAGGCTGCAGAAATCAACACTCTGCGCTGAAATCTCCTCCATGCTCACAGTGCTGAGGAAGTGGCGTGAATTAGCCGATGGTGAATCCGTTCAGAATATTTAGCCGCAATAACACAGTGTCAATACAGCGCGTCAAAACGGGTAGTATTTTTGGATTATAATTAGCAGCTGAATTGTGAAACAGAAAGTGGTTGAGCTGCGGCTGGTTTCGAGAGAGCGTGTTTGATAAAGAGACAAGATGGCTGTCGTTGTGCTGCGCTTTGGCTTCAGACGCTGCTGTGTTGGGCTGTCTGAAGCTGTTGACCTTACGCAGGCTCCCTGTTAAAGTTGCTGTGCGAGGACCGGTTGTCAGAATCGCTTTACAGATCCTCATTAAACGGGGCTCGTTTTCGTTGCTGGTCTCCTTGGACTTCTGCCTCGGTATCTGTCTATTTACATAAGCGTCCCCATCTACATCTGCCGCTTGTTTCCTCTGCGTTCCGACTTGATTGTGCATGAATGTTCCCATGATTCTGGTAAACATGTCAAATAGGCAACGAGATCTGCAGGAATATTAATTTAATACTAAAATATGATTATACTTGCAAATATTTATATACTGTACATATGTTTTGCACTTTTTTTTACAAGACCTGTATAAACATTTTACACTTTATTTATTTAATTTCAATCTCTCTCTATATATATCCTTTTTCATCAATGCAATGTTTTTTCCCCTGCATGACTTCAAACAAGCTTTTCTTTTGTTTTCTTGTTTTTGATAATGAAGATCAGAGAACACAGACATTTTTGTCTTAAGGAATTTAATGTATTGATGAAACTATTTGTGAATTGAAAGTATTTTGCAATGTGTCTGCTGAGGTTTGTCTCTCTCTTTGAAGCTTTCGGTTTGTTTACAAGATGTTTGGCTGGTTTTCTGATTCTTAGTACACTTTTACTCAAAACTCACTTTAAACCACCATCGAGTGTTTGTAATAACTCCCTTTTGCGATCTCATGTGGAATTTGGTCGTCGTTTACTATTGTAAAAATATGCTATTTATAGCCTTTTATATCGCTGCACAAATAATGTAACTAATCTTTAATAATAGTAGTCATAGTATTAGCAGTAGCAGCCATATTAATAAACAAATTAAATGTGTTCAGAGTCAGTGTCAAACAGCTGTGATATTCAAAATAATAATAATAATAATAAAAAAACAAGGGCGAATTTATTTGACCGAAAAATGCAGTAAAAACAGTAATATTGCAGATTAATACTTTGATTAATAGTACAATGCAATTACAATGAAAACTTCCACATATATATATATATAGTTTAGTCTGCAGCAGCAGTATGTCTTAAATACTCACGGCACCGTATCGCCGTATGCATTGGCAGTAGCAAGTTCCTGTACTTGCTTGCAGCAGCAGCAATAATCTACAACTACAGCAATAACCAACAGCAGCAGCAATTCAGCAGCAGCAGCAACGTAGCAGATCTATTCCGCCAAGACCAAATACATTAATATGATGATTTTATGGTCATAGAGTTTAAACACCAGTGTTTGTCCATGAATATAAACTGCATTTATTTGGAACGAAATACTGTATGGCAGTATATAAAATCATGTTTTAAACATTACATTTGTTTTCCTTTCTTAGCATTCTGTAAGCGGAGAGCATTTTCTTTTGGAAAGTCACGCATCCAGGTTGTTGAATATAAAATTTGATCTATTATAAAATAAAAATAATGATCCAGTTAGGTTTTTGACGCACATTAATCATCATTTCAGCTTGCTCTGTTTTTTTGTCCTAAAATACAGACAACACAATTCTCTTATAAAGTATTGTTAAAAAGCCACCGTAGCCCAAGGAATATGATAATAATTCAATACTTTTGGCAGGAAATGTATTTGTAATTTTTGCCGGTATTGTGCACACTGATACTGGCCCATATCAGTCAGTCAGTTCCTCTCCAGCTGATGTCTGGCTTTCACCGAGCGCTGAATATTTGAGACGAAGGTATTTTTGTTCTTTCTAAAACTGTGAAATATGCCATTGTGTGTTTGTATCTTCTAATCTGAATAATTCCTGCTTGATGTCTAATGTGCATTGTTTATTTTGCTTCTAATGTGTCCATAAAGTGTTGCATTTTTATTCAATGCCGATTTTGATCTGTGCCACTCTGGTGATATTTGCCACTGTCTGCTTTTGTTGTTGCATCTGTTCCAAAAAAAAAAAAGCTGAATTCTAAACACGTGTTTGGCATTGTCTGTTTCTTCTTTGTTCTACAGAGATGTTGAAGGATTTGAACCAGCAGCGCAGAGAGAAAGAGTTTACAGACCTGAAAATTATAGTTGAAGGCAAAGAGTTTGAAGTCCACCAAAATGTTCTAGCTTCCTGCAGCTTGTATTTCAAGGACCTGGTGAAAAGGTTTGCCTTCCTCCGGTCGTCTTATAATCAGGGTCGTCTTATAGTCGGGCCAATACGGTAATATTTCATAAAATTACTGTTTTTACTGTATTTTTATTAAATAAATTCTTCATAAACATTTAAAAATAAATCTTACCGACCTCAGACTTTTGAATGGTCTGTTTGTTTTATTGCTTAAATGTGATACTGTAAATATATATATATATAATTTATATATAACCTAATTTATAATTTACATATGTCCTAATTTATATAACTGATTTGAAAACGCTTATTAACGATAGCATTTTTCTGTATTTATTTCTACAGAAAAGATGGACAAAATCTATCAGAGCACATTTGATTAGCTTTTTCGGTTATTAGATAAAACAGTGTAGCATAAATACAACCATTATCCAAAATATAGCTTGTATTTGTAAAAATTGGCACTACTGTCATGCTATCAAATAATGTAGTTAGTTAGCTTCACTATTTTTAAGCTTGTTAGTCTCCCCGACACTCACCATACATTAGCTAGTCTGAGCTGAGTTGCTGCTTTATCGCATTCACAATTCATAGACTCAGTCCACTGGGCAGGACTTGTCGTACCTGCACTTTCTGTCTCAAAGTCGCCTGTCTCCTTCTATTCCACTGAATGCAGAAACTCTCACGCAGGTACTCTGGGTAGACACCAGTCGCCTTATTGGAAAAACCTGAGCAGCCAACTCATCAGAAAGCTTATAAGGACTCTAGATGACAGAAGAGCTCACTGCTTAGGGAAAGATACGATTGTCCTCGTAAACATCAGACCTGTGTAGACGCGCGCACACAAGTGTCCCTTTAAGGTCCAACTGCCATTGACCTTGCGTTTGACAGAGGACCTTGCATGATTGTTTGGTGATATCAGACTGAAGGCGATGTCCATAGATTAGCTTCCCCAGCGCTAAAATTCATAGAGGATTTCATTGCTTTACCAAATCGCATGCTGCTTTTTGTTGCAGCTCAACTTATGGGCCCCTGCACTGAAAATCTCATTGTTTCTGTAACGTACATACGTGAATACTCAGTGTTTATCAGTGTTTTTGCCATTTCACAGATGGATTTCATCCACACCATGCTAATAGCAAGAACAGTTTCCCTGAAGCAGCCTTGGGTTAAGTGCCTCGCTTAAGGGCAAAGTAGTGAAAGAGCAGTATTTGTGATCTCAGTACGTCTCCAGGATCTGGGTCACCCTCACCTGAGCATGAACCAGTTTAAAGCCCAATTCCTTAAGGTCAACATAACACGGCATTCGCAACCCAATTTAACTGCATAATATGATATATTTTACTATTTAATTTGATGATGGGATAACGTACTTACAGTCTGTGAGTCAGAACAGCCGGCATTGTAGTCTACTCTTCCAGAACAGTCCTCCATAAAATGTGCCGCACACATCTGAATATTTGGGTTGAACTGTTCTGGAACAGTGTTGTAAATACAACTTAACCACTGATTTCTAGTCATGTCCTCTTTTGGAAGGCCAAACAAAGTAGTTTCACATGGTGGGCTAGAGTGAGCGGCGGCGGGCGGATTATGCACCAAGAGCTTGTAACACTCCAAAGAGAAAGGAGAAATTGCATCATATGACCCCTTTAATTATAAACATGCATGAAATACACCAGGACTCTTATTTTGAAATATCTACGCTTTAGTACTTTCAGCTGCTCATTCAAACAGGTGAGAGAGATAAAAGACACACTCTAAACAGCATTTTCTTGTAAACGTTCACAATGTTTTATTGACTTTAAAAAAAAAAAAAAAGTGTAGATAGTAAATTCCACTTCCTGTCATACCAGTTCACCTTCCTGTAGGGTGTGGCCAATTTATTTAAAATTCATACGTTATGTTAGCATGACTTTTGGTGGGAATATTTCTAAATCCTATCTACACAATTTGACGTAAGCGTCTAGTCTATCATATCGCATCAGTTTACCATGCCCTTATTTACGGCTCTGAACAATGTTTCCTTTCCTACGCTGAAAATCTGAGCCACATGCTATTTTTACGCTCTGTCATTAAGCTCATCTGAGGGGCGTGGGAGAGAACATGCCACCTGAAGGATATAATGCACCTCCTAAATGTGCACACACGCTTCCTCTCAACCACGGAAAAAAAAGCCATTAACCTCCCCTTTAGCGTCTGCCGCATGGAGCGCAGAGACGGATTGCCCTCAGTAATTCCATTTTCCCCTTCGGATTTTCAATAAGTATGCTTGGTGCCACTTTAATTTATGGGTAGTACAACTGTGGCAAGCTGTCAGCGTATGTACGTAGTGTGAAACTCGGCTAGCTTAAAGTAGCTTTGACACCGTGCTCTGATTTATTTATTTATATAAGACCGCGCAGCTGTTTTACAGTAGATGTGGCGTTACAAGTGCGAGGAACTAGTAAGGTTTCATTCGGAAAACAATGGGAGATCATTAATCCCATGGGATGTGACAGTCGACTTCTATGAAGGCACAATTGCCTCCTGCACTAGAGGAAAGTCACTTTCTTGGTGTTTTTGTAGGGAGGGTTGAAGTTTATATACAGTAATGAATGAAGTTCCACAGTGGGCTCCTTCATTCATATTTCATGCTGTAATGATTCGGCAGCACAATTTTCTCTCCAAACCTCTAAAAAAGGGCTTTTTTTTTTGTTTATTTCTTTTCCCCATCATGCTTTTCGGTCGTATCTGTAGATTTTTCTTCTAGACTTTGTATCCGTTTTGTGGCGAAAAAGAGAGCAGGGTAAGCTGTGTCATATTTTACTTAAGTTGTCCTCTAGGCAAGCAGAAATGGGATGAAATGAGGTATAACTAATACCCCTAATTATATTGCAGGATGTTTTCTGTCAGCTGAAATGATCTGTAACACACAGCCTGTTTTTTTTTTAAATCTGATTTTCTTATAATTATATTAATATATATATAATATTATAAAAATGTTTCTGACATTTATATATATAAAACACAATTTAATATAAAATTATATTATACATCATTATATGTATTTACATTTTCTATAAATATATATAAATAATTTAATTTATTTATATTTATTTAATATTTTTATTGTTTAATATATTGAATTAATTATTTGAAGGCCTGCATAGATTTGCTTTTGCAGAAAATGTATTTTACCTGGCTTATAAAACATTTATTTTGACATGCAATAAAAGGGACAAAAATGATGCACAGTCTACTTTATTAAGTGAGCGACACATCTTACCCCACTCTCCTATATCTTGGATGCCAACGTGATGCTGTAGCCCTTTCTGTCTGGAAACATACATGAACGAGGATAATTATGGTCAATCAAGAGGATTTTTTATTTTCATGTTTAATCATGCTTCACTGGCAACGGACAGAGAAAATGAGCTCCAGATATTTTTAATTAATTTTTTTTCTGTGTGTGTGTGTGTGTGTGTGTATGTGTTTGAATGTGTTAGAGTCAACAGTGGCCAGCAGTTTTTTTTTTTTGGACCTCCCCAGCTAATTTATAATCTCCGTTTGCACACACATGCACCATGTGGCCATCTCCCATCATCCTCATCCTCACGTTGGCTGCTAATGCTGAAAAAATGTCACTTTAAATGAGAAAAATAATAGATGCTCATTTTTGTAAACACATTCTCTGCTCTATCTCTCACGGACATGCTGTCTTTCTCTCTCTCTCTCGGCCTCGCTTGCTGTCTCCTGTCTCTCGCTCTCTCCATCTTGCTGAAAAACAACGCTTGCAATCAGCAGCTCCATAGATATGCACCTCTCTCCAAAGCCAGAGCGATTTCCATAATAAAAGTGCTCAGACAAAGCAAATTGCTACTCCAGCCGATTCAGATTGCACTAATTGACCTGGTTGATGAACATGCTTTTGTTTTATTTCTTCCTCTGTCTTTTTCCGTTCTTATTTCCCCCCCTTTCTCTTCTCTATCACCTCCATAACTTAACCCAGGACTACATCCCATTCTATTATCTTAAAACCTACCGCCAAGGCAATTAGAGAGGACAAAAATAACAAACTCTGGCTTTTTTTGCTTTTCAGGAGGGAGTGGCGTTTCTTAATCTTTTCAGCTGTAGTTCCAGGGGCGTAATTGCACATTGTCCTCTTGAGTTGTCCTTCTCCCCCCTCAAGTACTCAATCAGTGGAGACTAATGACACCCTACGCACTCCTATGTTCATGCACAGGGCCACAGGGGACTTTGTTTAGGTTTGGTGGGGGGTCACGCTCAAAGATCCAGTCATGATCCAGAAGAATGGCTGCTGGCTTCCTGTGGCAGAACTAACGTTCCCTTGCCTCACTTTTTCTTCTCTCTCTGACTCTCTCTTCTTCACTCTAACCATCCTCCACCCTTCACCCTGTCCATGGCTCCTCCCGCCCCGTTTTTTGGTTTCCTTTAGTCGTTCAGCTCCACTTCAACAGGTTATGTGTGGACTCAAAGTCATTTTTGCCAAAAAAAAGTATTGTGTTAAAAAGCAGCCTATAGTGCAAGATGATGGGATCCTCTCAGGCGCACATTCGAGAAGTAGTTTGTCGTTTTTTCCCCCGTGTCTATGTGTTATTTTCTTTCTGTCGGGAAACACAAAAGGAGATCTTCAGCAGAAACTCCAAGGAAAGTTGTTTTTTCGTAGCAGGGAAAGTGGGTGATTTAAACTGCCAGGCTCTGTGAAACTGCTCCATTTGACTGTGTGCACTATATTCCAAGTCTTCTAAAGCCATGCAGTAGTTTTCTGAGAGAAACGAACCGAAATCTTTTTTAAATACATTTTGCATTTGGAATTGATTAAACGCAAACACAAATGACTTTTGAGAGCTCCGGTAGCTAGTTTTGGTGTGTTCATCACACAAAGCTAATGTATGGCTTCACAAGGCTTGGAATATGCATAAGTTGGGCTACTTTTATAATATCTTTTATGGTGCTTTTTGGACTTTTTTTGGAGCTTGATAGTATGAATCACTATCCTCTTTCTTTGTATGGATAACAGAGACTTAGACTTTCTT